TGCTTAGTTTACAACATACTCTGCTAACACATATTTGGATAAATAGACCATGCCTGCCTGGACTTCTTTCTAATACTGCTTTTGGGTTCATGCCTTACACCTGCCCCACATCAACAATTACTGTGCTTCTAAGCCTCAGCCCGTCACACTATCTTCATGGTCTGACTCCTATAAACCAGGCCATCCCTAGCCAGTTCCTAAGACCAGCACTGATTTTTTATCTTATATAAAAGTATTTATAACAATGATTCATTCCATACTTGTAAGAGTTGAAAAAATCAAAGATGTAGATAACCTCCTTATTTTCATCCACTAGTAACCTACATACATCTCTATGCCTTGAAAGATTAAAAAAGCATTGTGCACAGGGTTTATATGTAAAAAGTCTCAGAAATACTATCAACAATGTAATAATAATTCATATAGTTCCTTATTTGGAAATTGAGGGCAAACTAGTAACATTTGTTTACCTTAGGAATTTAGAAAAACTCAAAAATCTTTCTCTCATTTTAAATAGTCAAGTTAAAAATGTGAATTATCATAATACCCAAAGGTACACTTAATAGTACTTTGTTTCAATTCCCTCAGGATTTCATAACTTCCACAAAGCTTTTGAATGGTTATTACTTTGAAAAAAAATCTGATCTATAAACTTCTATCTTGAACTATGTTATTGGATCAGTTAATAAACTGGAAATACAAATAACAAGTGGTATAAGTTAAATTTCAAAAACACAGTCACATTTTCCAAAGCCCCCACCCCTACATCTCAGCCTACTAGCATTCATTTTAAGAGTTCCCTTATTTATGAACTTCCATTTGACCCAGTGATCCCACTGCTGGGAATATACCCTAAGAAGCCTGAAACACCAATCAGGAAGAATATATGTACCCCCATGTTCATAGCAGCACTATTTACAATAGCTAAGATCTGGAAACAGCCCAAGTGTCCACCAGTAGACGAATGGATAAAAAAGCTGTGGTACATATACACAATGGAGTACTATGCAGCGGTAAGAAAGATCTCTTATCCTTTGAGACAACATGGAGGGACCTGGAAAGTATTATCCTAAGTGAAAGAAGCCAAGCAGAAAAAGACAAATACCACATGATCTCACTTATATACGGAATATAATGAACATAACAGTCTGAGGAATACAGTAGACCCAGACACATGGAAGTAGGGCACAGACTGACATCCCTCAGAAGAGGGGATGGGGGGTGGGAAGAGATAAACCACAGAAATTTATATGCATGTATGCATGACCAATGGACATGGACAACTAAGCCGGGGACAGGGTGGAGGGGGGGTAGGGTGGGGGGTGCCAATGGGGTAAAAAGATAAAATATCTGTAACAAAAAAAAAAAAAGACTAATAATGAAGTCGATGTAATGTCATTAAAATTTTTTAAGTACTAAAAAAAAAAAAAAGAATTTCCCAAATACTTTCCTTCACATATAGTAGTTTGGATAATCCCATAAAACCATGCTTAAATTTTACTTCAGATAAATAATGTTTTAAAAAATAGAAAAAGATCCCAATAAACAAGGTGTATAAATAAAAATGAAAAAAAAAAAAAAGAGTTCCCTTATTTAGGGAAAACAACCATGGTTTCATTACTTAAATACCATCAGTACCTATTTATCCAAAGGAGCAAAGAGCCCCTTAGCAAAGCCAAGTGTAAAATAATTTGTTTGGGATATTTTAGAAATAAGTTGTAATTTTTTTATGTGAGGTCAAGTTGGTTTATTAAAGTCATCTCTTTAACATACTTTTGCTATGATAAAAATATAGGTCTTTTAACTAAACTTGTGTTTCACCTGCTGTGCTTTAAAAATTTTTTTATATGAAAACTGGATTAAAGCATGAAATAAAATTTCCAACATGTTATGTATGCTCTTTGTTTTCTATTACTGACAACCATAATAGCCTTTTAGTAGGTTATTTTATTAGTTCATTGGTCCAAGCATATCGGAATTATAACACTAAGTGTACTTTCTAGCACCACTCCTAAGTTCTTGTGAGTCAATTATTATATGGCAACAATAATACATAACAATTGCAAAAGGATATGCCCCAAATAGATCAAATCACAGACTCACTGTGATTAAGTGCTTTTGTTATCCAATTCTCTGATCTTAAGCTCCAGTATACACTCATATCATGATCATTTATTTCAAAAGATCAAATAGTAAAATTGCTGCAAACCATACAAAAATCAGCCAATGAGAGCAATTTTTTAAAAAGTAGGGAAAAATTCATTTACAATTATACCCTTTATATATCTTATATCTTGTATATTCTATATAAGCAAATTAAATTTACATGTGTATATGATATAGACATTAACACACATATATACACAGTATATGACCTAACAAGAAACATGCAAAACCTATATGAATAAAAATCTTTAAAAAAGTTTCGAGGAATATAAAAGATCTAAATAAGTAATTACATACACTACATTACTATATATGGGACTATTCATTATTGTAAATATGTCAATTTTTGTTTTATAAATTTATATATACTTTTAAAGCATTTTTAATGAAAATACCTGCAGAAAATTTTGGGAAATGTGACAAATGCATTAAAAAATTTCACTTGGAAAGAGAAATGCATAAAATTACCTAAAAAAAACACACACTAAAATACAAGACTATTGAAGAGGCATTTGTCTTTCCAGATGACAACGTATCTTAATTCACTAAATTAATTAAAATAACTATACTGGTGAAGGATTAGAAAATTAGACTAATTAACTCATATAAGATGATAGATATTATTATATAAAATTAAACTTCCACATGGCAAACAGTCTGAAAAGTCAAAGGACAATGAGAATCTGGAAAAATGTTTACAACATAAAAAAAAAAAGGTTAATATCCTTAAAATACAAAGTTCTTACCAATCAACTTTCTAAAGGTAAGACAATCTCGATAATAAAACAAAATATAAACATAAAATGAATCTCTGTTAAACATATGGAAATGTATTATTTATCTTCACTAAGCAAAGTAAATTTGAGCAATGAAATTTTTTCCTCTACTAGACTAGCAAAGATTAAAAAGAATGATGAAGTCAATAATATTGTAATAACTATGTATGGTGCCAAGTGGACACAGGAAATATTTGGGGGAACCCTTTGTAAAGTATATGATTGTCTAACCATTATGCTGTACACCTGAAACTAATACAAAATAATAAAGGATGTAAACTGTAATTGAAAAAATTTTAAAAAGAACAATAAACACAATATTAGCAAAAGTGTGGAAAAATGGACACTTACATATGACAGTGAAAATGTAAATTGTTGCAGCTTTTAGAAGGCAATTTAGCAGTATCTACTAAAATACTAAATTTACATATCCTTTGATCCCATAATTCTACATGTTGGGATCTACTCTATAGAAAAACATGCATGCCCGGCCGGTGTGGCTCAGTAGTTGAGCATCAACCCATGCACCAGGAGGTCTCCAGTTTGATTCCTGATCAGGGCACATGCCAAGGCTGCGGGCCAAATCCCCAGTGGGGGGGCATGCAGGAAGCAGCCAACTGATGTTCTCTCTCATTGATGTTCCTCTCTCTCTCTCCTTCTCCCTTTCTCTCTCTCTAAAAATCAATAAAGAAAAAAGAAAAACATGCATAAGTCTGTAAAGGTGCATGTGTATAATATTCACATACCACCATCTTTTTATTAAAAAATGGACATAACCTTAATGGTATCAAAAAGTGAATGGTTAAGATAAATAATGGAATACAATGCAACCCATAAAGTAGTTCTACGTGCACTGACTTTAAAAATATCTAATAGTATATTGTACTGTTAAGTTTTAAAAAGAAAGGAATTTGGAGAACAGTGTGCAAAATATGATCCCATAATTGTTTATGTAAAGAAAAGTATCTGAAAATTTACAGATTTAGTCATTTTACAACATTTTGCAATAAGTATATATTCTTTTTTACTGTTATAGTACAAGTCTGGGGGGAAGATCTCATGTTTCTAACATGAAATTCTGCATCTAACTGAACTTTTTTTCCAAACAGGGCTTATTTCTTTCTTCTAAAGGATAAAGTGGCTATAAAATTTAGCTATGAAATATCCTTTTTAAGTTTTGAAAATGAATTTATTTTCCAAGCATTTGTTGGGTACATTAGGCTCTGAGGACATAAAAATAAATGAGACAGCCCTGGCCGGTTTGGCTCAGCGGTTAGAGCGTCGGCCTGCGGTCCAAAGAGACCCGGGTTCGGTTCCCGCTAGGGGCACATACTTCGGTTGCAGTTTGTCCCCGGCCCTGGTTGGTCGTGCGGGTGGCAGCCACTCGATGTGTCCCTTTCGCGTCGATGTTTCTCTCTCTCTCTCTCTTCCTCTCTCTCCCTCCCACTCTATCTGTACAAAGAATGGAAAAATATCCTCAGGTGAGGATAAAAATAAATAAATAAATAAATAAATAAATAAATAAATAAATAAATAAATAAATAAATAAATAAATGAGACAATATCTCTGCTTTGAAGAAACCCAAATATACTGTGAGGAACAGACCAGTATACCAGTAAATACAATCAATTTTTGAAGTTACTGCAACAGTAGTAATGGAGGGATAAAAATGGAAAGGAAAGGTTGTTCTAATTGAAGGAAAACATACCAAAAAAAGACTTAGGCTTATACTAGAGCTAAATCTTAAAGATGATGTGTTGGCCAGATGGACAAGAGAAAGGAAGTAAATGCAAATGAGATCTATATGCATTCTTATACTTAAGCAGAGTATTTGTAAATAGAGTGCTGCAAAGATAAAACAATGTTTGAGTTCAACATAAAAATACCCTAACACAATAAATACAGTCTATTTTCACGAAAGTTATATTTTGCTAAGACCTACATGTTTTTAATAGTGCTTTCAGGGAGTGTATCTCCTCTGCTGCAAACTATTACCAAACTTTTCTCTTAGGAACACAACATGCCACATAAAGTCAGAGAAAAAGTAGGCTTTTTACCTCATGAAGTGTGAGATGTTTCCCATCTTTTCTCTTCGAGTCAAACCTGCCATATATTGCACTATATTTTCGAATTTCCTCCTCTTTGTGTGGGTCATCATCGCTCATCTCAAAGATGTGACCGATCATTTTAGCTAACTTCTTGTTGGTTTTTAGCAGCTCTTTCACTTCGTTCAAGTCACTTTTGGGCAGTGTGGAGGCCATTCGCTCCACACACTCAGCTACAGAGAGCGCGGCGGCAGCATCCAGTGCCTCACTGCTTTCCTTTGGGGAAGCTGGAGAGCCAAGGTCTGCTGGGGAGAGGCTGTGCTCGCTCTCAGTGGCATGGTGGCCTTGCCAGAGTCTGGAGTCACCAACACTTTGCAGTGCTAAGCTCCCCACCACATCTGATTTCCCCTGTCCCAAGCTCTGCACACAGGTGATGGCGGCACACTTGGGGACTTTTACATGAGGTTCCCGGGCATTGCTATTCCTTTCATAACTGTTACAGGATATTCCCAGCCACGTTGGTGATCCCTCTGGTAATTTATAGATGGGTATGCTACTAACAGGCAGGGAAGTCAGCGGCTGATTGAAAAGGCCAGGGTTTGTAACCCAGTCTCTCAAAGCCTTCTGTAGCCTTCTAACATGAAGGGGCTTGCTAGCCATGCCCACAAGGGCCATGATTTCCAAGAATTCCTCTTCTCCAGCTTCACAGAGTTGCTGGACATCATCACCACCTTGTTGGATAAAGGCATCAAAATAAGAAAGCAGATTGGCCTTTTGTAATATTCTATACAGCTGCAACTCCCCCAGGGTCCTGGGTAAGGCCGCAGCCATTACTGTGGGTGTGCTTAACCTGCAAAGAGAAGAGAGGAAATACTCATCACACTTGCTCAAAACTTCTTAAACCTAGTTCATCAGACACTACAGGATTTAAGAATGCAGTATGGGAAGAACAAAACGAGACGCATTTGCATAGTGACTGACTGTTAAGGAAGCATGCTCTCTGTACATAAGTTGTCTCATTTTACTCTCCTAACAATCCTAATGATCAGTATAATTGTTTCCATTTTAAAGAAAAAAATATAAAGGCTCAAAGATGATAAGTAATTTTCCTGAGATCTCACAACTAGTTAAGCAAAAGTCTAGGGACTCAAACCAAGGCTCACAGGGCTCTATATCCCATAATTTTTACTATTCACTTTGCTAAGACCTACATGTTTTTAATAGTGCTTTCAGGGAATGTATCTCCTCCGCTGCAAACTATTACCAAACTTTTCTCTTAGGAACACAACATGCCACATAAAGACAGAGAAAAAGTAGGCTTTTTACCTCATGAAGTGTGAGATGCTTCCCATCTTTTCTCTTTGAGTCAAACCTGCCATATATTGCACTATATTTTCGACACATATTGGACACAGAGGTGAAATGAGGGATAATCAAATTCAGAAGGAGATAAGAAGTATATTATTCTACCATTTGCTGAATATTTATTTTGTCCCAGACAATATGATAAACACAGCAAATTAGAGTTAGTTATTCCCATTTTATAAAGGAAAACTAGTAAGTCTGGCAGATAGAGGAAGATAGTTTACAGTATGAACTGGAAGTGAGGAGACAGAAGATGGTATATTAGGAACCAAGAATAAAGTAGGCAGGAAAAATTCAAACAAATAAATGACAAGACTTGGTGATCATTTATGTATAAGTGATGAAGGAGAGGAAATGGTTACCTTTTTTTTTCAATGGTTCCAGGAAGAAAAGAATAGATGACCATGGGAGGCACTGGGGATACAGAAAAATCAAGATGATGGGATTTCCTATCAAACACACTACACTCTATGGCACAGCACTGGAGTCGAAGTGTGTATAAGGATTAGGGATACAGGATGAAACCAGGGAGGGTGAAAGAGCCCTCCAAAGAAGCTTCACAGAACCCAAGATAGAGCCACATAGATAGAACCCAAGGAAGAAACACATAAATTGTAGAGCCCAAGCAAGACAGGGAAGCCTGCCTTTAAAGAGAAACAAAAAGATCCAGCAAAAAACTTCTTGACCTCTTAGCAGCCTTTAAAAGTTATTCACAGTTGCCTAGAGAGCTCTCACATACAAAGGAGTTGGTCAAGTACTTCCACAGAAGGCCAAACGAATACATACATCAGAGGAAAATGGAAGTTCCACTCTCAATTCAAAATAGTATGAAGCAATTATTAACTTGGAATTAAGGCAAACAGAAGAATGTTAGGAGCATCCCTGAAGGCCAGGAGACCAAATCTGGGACTTTTGCTTTATGCCATCAATCAGAATGCCACACAGAATTCTAGTCTGTCATCCCATCCAAGGAGAATGCATCTGCCTACCACCCCAAGGACTGACTCCTGGAAGCCCCATCTCCTGGATCCTCGGGGTCATCCACAATCCGCTTTGATCAACTAGTAACCAACTCAAATTTTAAGGCTTTTTCTTTTACAAGAGCATTGCTAGGTGAGAACTGATGACTTTCCAAGAGAAATAAAACAAGGCAAACTACACTAAAAGATCCCTATTTAGTATAGCCTCTGGGAACCACAAATTCCTATGTGTTCTGTGATCATCTAGGTTCTTTAAATCCACCTTCATGTTCACGTCACCTCAGTCCTCTGGACAAAAACACTGCATCTTCTATGTCACTCAGGATGATCTGCTTGTCCTCCCACTTCAGGGGAGACTCTTCAGGGAGAGAGAATATTCACCCAGCTAGAAACTAACCCACAAAAAACAACTCTCAGGAGTTAGAGACACAAGTTAAATTCAGGTGTTTACCATTATACCATATAGAAAGGCTTCTAGAAAGTGTCTAAGGTAGAAGAAAAGGAACTTACTTTCCCATCATACACCTAATTGCAATAGCTTCACAGGCTATCAACTCAAGACCATACAAACAAATACATATGCACACCTTTGTTTATACACGCACAACATCTTCTTTATAAGACTATAACTTTGCATGGTTTATGATATTGCCAATTATCTCATCATTTGTACTCCCCCCAATTTTGAGAGGAAAGACTATGTGAGAAAATCTAGACTAGTTTTTGAATCTTATTATGAGCAGTGAGAAAAAATATGTTAGATAAATTTTTAAAAAAATAACTAAAAGGAGGACCAAAGCCCAGCCAGTGTGGCTCAGCATCACCTGATGCACCAAGAGGTCACTGGTTTCATTCCCAGGCAGGGCACAAGCCCAGGTTGTGGGCCAAATCCCCAGTGGGGGGCATGCAGGAGGCAGCCAATAGATATTCTCGTTCATCGATGTTTCTATCTCTCTCTCTCCTTCTCCCTACTTTCTCTCTAAAGTCAATAAAGAAAAACATCTTTTTTAAAAGGACGAAAGATCCAGACTTAGGTTTTATTCTTCCGACATAAGCAATGATTTTAGAAAATATTCATCTTTATCCTTTTTCATCTTTATCCAGAAATACAGGAAACCCCCTAGTTCCTAAGAGAAAAATGCTCATGTGCTGGTGAGAAAGAAGGAGTTATGATTATAATATCTCTGCAAGGAATGACAAGATCAACTGCACATTTCCAAAGTCAATATACCAAATGAAAGATAAACAGGTGAACCATTATAGTCCAGAAGACTTTCTAAAGGCCCACACTTACTGCTGAAAAAGGAGTTTTCTCCCTAAGCTTTTGCGTTAGGAGGTTTCAGTTTCCTGATCATTTAAACACCCACCACTTCATATATTAATTGGATTTAACTTAAAAGAAAATTGTTATAAGATGAGCTTTTCTGTTTTTACCAACTCTATTCATGCTTTAACATGAAGGTCAAATAAATCAAAAGAAAGATTCTAGCTGCATCTCTCCAATCTGAAGTAAATATAAAAGGATCCTAACACACTATATACAGGGAGCTAGCAGTATAGTAAATCGACTCAGCTGTTCCATGACTCCTCATGTGTAATAGTTAGAATAGCATGTATCACTGTGTTTAAATGTCTGCTTCCTTGTCTGTCTCCTCCCTCTTAAATGATTCTTTATAAAGGGCCATCTTTCCCTCTGTATCCCCAAGACTGGCTCAGTAACTGATATATCTGAATAAGAGGGAGAGAGAACATATAGTGGAGTTCAGAGAAGGAAGAGTACACCTAAAGGGGGTGTGAGAGAGGCTTTCTGGAAAAGGCCATGAAGGTGTGAGGGAAGGATGCCTGGCATGGGGTCAGGGAAGCTGGAGGAACATTTGAGGAATGCCCAGTGCATCTGTTTGGCAGGAGCATAGGGGCACAATAGAGACCAGAGAGAAAGCCGGAAAGTAGGTGTGGTCTGGGATGCCTATATTAGTTTGGATCTTCTCTATGCGGTGGAGGAATTTGCCCAAGTGAGTAAAGAGTCACACCTGTACTTTAGGAAATTAAAGTTGGCATTGCAGTGAGGGATGTATTGAAGGTGACGAAGTTGTTTTCGAAGTTGGGACAAGGAGCAGTAAAAACTAGAGAAAGCTTTTGAGGCAGAGAAAGAAAAAGGGTGGTGATGTGGCTTAAGGGCATGTAAATTTGAGAAAGGAAGAGAACACAAAAATGGAGTCCCTACTTTCACTAATTCAGTAAACTGGAAGAGTAATGGTACAATTAAAAGAAATAAGAAAGTTGGGAAGAATAAATTTGGGAATCTGGAAGAAGGGAGGAAAATGAGATAAACATACTTGCTTTTGGACTTATCAAATTTTGATAAGCCCCAAGTAGTAGTTGAAACGCTGAATTATCAGAAAAATGATTTGAGCTAATGACTCTTAAACTTTTCAAGTATGAAGATCATTTTAAATAAAAAACTGCAAATATTCATTGATAATTTTACTTTTAGCATTTGTTGACTGAGACTGCATATAACAACTACTATTATGAATTTGGTTATACTTTTAATTAAATGACTTTATATTTTATTAAGTCATAAAGTATTTATTTACTTTTCATTTGTAAAATGGACATATGTAAGAGGCATCTTACTCCACAGCCAGTGCTTGGTGTGCATTTGGATATGAGAACACTTTGCAGTAACTCATGGCCCCTGGCCTATCACTGATCCAAGCTACATTTAGCAATCTGATGGTTAGTCTGCTAGAGGTGATAACTGAAGCTTGGGAGTGGATGTGATCATCAAGGGAGAATATCAAAAGACAGTAGAAAAAAGATCTAATTTAAAACTTTGGAATTTAAGTTTTGCAAAGAATTGCAAAGGGAAGGTAGGGAAAACAACACAAGTCTAGGTGAAAAGCATTTCAGTCAAGCTGCAGAAAGGTTAGAGAAAGGCCAGTGATAACTCATTAGTTACTCGAGAGTTTTGAGACTTGTGGGGCCATACTGCAGGCTGAGGCTTAGAATACACTGAGGCAAGATTGAAGGAATAATTCTTTCCCCGTGACCATTACTAAGGGCCTCTGTCCTACCCTAAATCCCCACATCTCAGCTTGGAGAACATCAGGGGAGTTGTTTCCCATAGCCATATCAAGTGCTTCTTTGTGGTTCAAGGATTAAGTAGGAGTTATTGTTAGGTTATAAGCTCCCTGAGGATAGGAATTGGGTCTCATTCATCTTTTATCCCCCTCTATTCCTAGTATAGTGTTTAACATCTCTATAAAGGCTGCTGTTATATGAAACCCAATGTTTGAGTCAGAATCTGATCAGCAGCCTCCTTTCAAGTTAAAAAAAGGATGCCTTTGGACTGGTGCTCCAGTGAATTACCAATCTAATAAGAACACATCCTGCTACTTTACCTACAACCCTCTTCATTCTCTAATGCTCAATGCTTCCTCTTTCTTGTAAGACTATATGGTGAGTTCCCATAACATATTTTCCCAAGTGATCAAAGGATACTCTCCCAAATATAAGAACTTTACCTGGTTAGTATAATATAAATCATATGATAGTCCAGCCCCAACCATAATTTTAAGAAATCAATTTTAATCATGAGATCCTAGGTCTTTTTCCTTATGGTTCCTATAAATTAAAATGCAGAATAAGCTGTCCCCAAATAACAAATATTAATCTTATAAAGGATCATTATATTCAAATGGATTCATAATCACTACTCCTAAATCCTCCCCTTCATGTTGTAGGAAATATATAGCGATATTTCAACCACCTATATCTATACACTCCCACATACATACATACACAGTGTGTGTATACACACACTTTTATGAAATCTATGGCATTCCAAAGAGACACTCTTCCAGGAGTAGGGAGGAACCTGGGGAAAAATCCCAGTAAGATCTACCTTATGCAGAGAACTATAAATTCCTTCCCCCAACACAGCCTGAAATTTTTACTTTAAAATTAACAGCAACCTCTTACAGACTTATAAAAAATGTGAAAAAACTTGGGAAAAGTTAGCTTATGAGTCATTTACAGATTAAGGTGAATTAATTCCACCAGATTGTTTTCTTCTTCACACTTAGATGAGATCCAGGGCACACTAATGGAATGAAAGACGGGGATGGAAACAGCAAGGAAGGAAATAGGAAATCTGAGGGCAGAGACTACATTTAAAGCCTCTGAAGTACTATCAGGTTTGGAAGAGGGTGGCCTGAAGGACTGGGGAGAAGGGTGCAATGGGTACACTTAAAGTTTGAAACTAAACAGGTTTATAAGAAGAACTTGGCTTAGGGAAGGATGAGCCTTAAACCTAGGAAATAAATTCTCACTTCTGTCCTAGTCCTAGAACTCAAGTTAAAATAATTAAATGTAGTTCAGTTATATCATGGGTTATTTAAGATTGCAGGGTTGGCCCTGGCCAGTTTGCTCATCGGTTAGAGCATCGGCCTAGGGACCAGAGTCTCAGGTTCGATTCTGATCAAGGGAACATACCTCGGTTTCAGTTGGACCCTCGGCCCTGGTCATGAGGTAGGCAACCAATCAATGTAATTGTCTCACATTGATGTTTCTCTCTCTCTCTCTCTCCCCCTCCCTCCCACTCTATCTGAAAATCAATGAAAAAATATCCTTGGGTGAGGAGTAAAAAAAAAAAAGATTGCAGGACTGGCCTAGATATTAAAGTCATGTGCATATGTTTCAAGTACCAAATGATTTACCCAAGGCATTTATTAGTAAACATACAGTGATGTATCTTAATCAAGATATTTCTGGATCTTATTACTGTCTTAGCTATGAATTAAACATTAGCTTCTAATGAATTAATGGTAATTTGGGAAACTTAAAATGTTTTCCTCTATTGACTCTTTTCTGAATTCTGAATGAAGCTAGAAAAGAAATTCTTTCAGACCCCTTAAAATTTTAATGAAAGTTTAAATTTATCAAAATTAGAAAAAAGTAGATCAAATTTATGTTGCAATTAAACAATAACTATACATTAACTTAACTATAATACTGATAGGTAAATACCTGTATCATATAATATGGCTGGAAATTCTTTTCTGTTGTTGTTAATCCTCAGCCGAGAATATTTTTCCTTTGATTTTTTTTTTTTTTTTTAGATAGAGTGCAAGGGAGGGAGTGGGCGGGAGGGAGGGAGAGAGAGAGAGAGAGAAACATCAATATGAGAGAGACATATCGATTGGTTGCTTCCCACACAACCCTGATCAGGATTGGACCTGTAACCCAGGCATGTGCCCTTAACCGGAAATCGAACCCATGACCCTTCGGTTCCAGGGCCAACACTCTAACCACTGAGCCAAACCGGCAAAGGCTGGCTAAAAATTTTTCAATCAACCAACAGTCAAGTCATTCATCAAATAGGTGCCCTCTGACCATGTAGTATGCACACCATATAAATTCTATCTTTTTCAGAAATTTCTCTAAAAATTATAAAATTAACATACTGTTTAAATTAATGTGCAGCCCCCCTAAATACACTGTATTGAGAAATGACAAACTATTTGAAAGCTTAATGGTATATTTTAGCTGTGAGAATTCTGACAAGATGAGGATTACTTTTTTCCCCAACATCAACTTCTCTAATTTCCCACTTGCTCCTTCATTAAGTTTAAGATAGTACATTGTATTGTACTAGTTTTTGAACATGTCAGATCAGAAAGGAAATTTGCATTTAATAAAATAACCGTACAATTCTTCATTCTACTAAAAAGAGTAAAAGAAGCAGGTAAGATAAAATCCAAAGCAAAAGGGCTAGCAAACTTACATTATGCTTGAGTGGGTTTTATTTATTCCTTAACATATTTAATCAACTCCACAATAAATGTACGTACATAAATTGATTATACATTACCAAGATCTTAATCTGTTCAAAATATATTATATAATAGTCATTTCCATGAAAATAAAATATAGTATGGTTCTGTGGTACCCAGAATACAGATTCACATTTAGAGGTATTTTTTACAGAGCTTTCATTTCCAATAATACACATGAATAGCACAAAAACAATGAAATTTATTATAATGGAATAGATGAGGCCTGTGTCTTATGACAGAGTCTAGATTAACAGACACAAACATTTGACATACTTCTATCTCCATCCAACATCTTTTGCTTTAAATATGCAATAGTCTTCAAAGGTCTCTTCCATTTTGTACTATATGTAATTTCTTCTTTCAAAGAATACATAGTGCAACCCTCCCCCCAAATCCTTAATAACAAACCAATATGGTCTTAAAGTGGGATTAAAAGAAAGTATCTAACACTTTAACTGATTCTCTCAACAAGGAGAATGAAGATCTATTAACTTTGCAATAGAGCAATGGATGGTATTTACTACTCACAAAAAACATTTTTTTAAATTAATTTAGCTGAGATTATTCTATTTTATCAATAATTCTGAAATAAGACAAGATGTAAAGTATTTATTAAACATAGCAAATTATTTATTAGACATATAAACTCACTACATTTCCTTATATCAGCTATAGTATTCCTAAGGATTTTTGTCATTTTAAACAGAAGGCAGAATTAAATAAAATAAAAACATACAATGCCTCAATATTTTTATTATTCTTATTCCTATTATTGATATTCATATATAACAGGAAATCACCAGAGCCAAGGAAAACAAATCTTTTCTAATACCAAGATGGCATACTAACTTTTGTGTAAGGTGCTAAAAATAATAAAATTAAAACAAGAAACCTTCCAATGGTTCCTTGAAATTATTTTCTTTCAAGACCTAATTTTCCAGTATCTAATACCCAAACAGAAATAAAGAAGGCTGACCTTGCTAAACATCTGTAAATTCTCTAGAGAACCCTTATATGCACGTTAACACCTACCTGTAAGGGCAACGTATTTAAAACTTAATGAAAGGACAATATTAAATGCCTTAAATAATACAAAAAAAAAAATACCCACAAAAAATGGAGGGAAAATTATACCCTTAAACCTAAGAACCACTTTACTGGCACTTAGATTAGATTAGAAGCAGCTCTTTTAAGTCTTCAGGAAGACATCAGCCTCCACCCAAAATAAAGTAAATCCTATGCATCCTCTCTTCCAATATTTCCCTTAAAACCCACACATAAATTATGACATGTCATAATTTGCTATGTTTTTACACGGAGAAATTTTCAAAAAAGTGAAAATCTAAGAAGGTAATTCACTGCGTGCACACTTTTCTAACAAAACAGCCTAGCATTTCCTACATGACTAATCTATTTTAAATTCCGTTCCTCTGTTCCTATGCAATCTAATATTAACTTATTAAAACTGCCAAAATATTTTAAACAAGATCTGAGAATTTGCCTTTCAGCTTTTGATCTTTGCACTCCTTAAGTTTGCAAGTTTGCAGACACATCACTGGCAAACCAACTGGTAGTGACAGGTTAACTCCTTCGGATGAAATTTTAAATTGACAGCTACCCCCAAATTTTGAATTCTTCCAAGATCTCATGGAGTGAAGGAAAAGTACATGCAGGTCAAGGATTCCTCCAGATCACCAGCTGCAAAACTTGATCTGCAGAACCTGTAAATGCATATTCTTACTCAATTATCCTTTCCCCCCAGACCTTATAGGCTTACTGGAAGTGTTGTTTTATATCTTAAGTCTTGTGAACCCAGAGGTTGCAGACCATAAACATTTGAGAGCACTTGCAATGTTTCTCCATGAATAAGGTCCCACACCTCTGCATCCCAGGCTCGTATGTCCCACGTGTGTTTGCAAATTCCACACTCGGCCTTCGCGAGCACAATGAGACTCTCGCTTCCCTGTACCTCGGTGCCAAGTTTCTGCAGGCCACTTCCAAGCAAAACTCTCCTTCCGCTTTTAAAAAGAAAACTACATTCGGAAGGAGAGGATACCCAGGACGAAAATTTAGACTGTAAGTGCAGCACTTTTATAAAGTAAGCAAGCCAACAAAAGATTCTGCCCCAGAAGGTAAGCGCGCGCACCTACCACGCAACCCCACCATTGCTCCGCGCGGCGCGCGACGACCCCAGCTGGGTTAGAAGGGACTCGGCACCCACGGCTTTCTCAGAGGAGAACCTCACAAGTCAGGCCCGTTGCCTCGTTCGTCCTCGTCTCGCTGCCCCTGCGCACCGAATTTCTCCGGGAATCGCCCACACAGCCGGATAACGCCCTCTCCTTCTGGCGGCGTCCGCGCAGGGCCCACTCCCCTGGACGCCCCCCCCCCAAGTGCCCGCAGGGCGCGGCGACACCACCGCCCCAAGTTCGCCCGTGGGTGCACGAGCGCAAACGCGTCCTGCACTAGGCAGACAGCAAGTTGGTACGTACTCGGCCAGCGGTCTTGGCGCGCTCTCCCCCGAAGGCTGCTCAGCCCCAACTCCGAAGTGACGGCTCCCGGCTCTCCCTCCACAGACTGCAGCGGCGGCCGGGACGCCCCCGCTCCCATCGAGGGGGGAAGGGAAGGTGGTGGGCGCGCTCTCCTGCTCCCCCCAAGCTCCGACCCGCCGCTTCTTCCCGCCCGCCAGCCCCGACGGCGCTCACTCGGCCGCCGTGGCGGCTCCTCCGTTTTCGGGCGCGCGGGCCACGGCGGTGGCACCTCCCCCGCCGCGTCCTCCCTCCTCCTACTCCCTCCCCTCCCCCGGCACGCTGCACCCTCCCCCTCCCCCGCCCGCCGCCGCCTCCGCCTCCGCCGCCTCCACCCCCCGCGCGCTGTCACATTGGGAGATTCCGTTCTTGCTACATTCGCCGCTCCGGCTCCCGCCCACGCGCGGCCGAGTGACGCAGATCTCAGCGTGGGCCGCCGCGGGATGGGGGCGGCGGCCGCCGGGGCCGGGCACGGCCTCTTCCCGCCGCCCCCTCCGCGGAATCCGGAGGGCGGCCCATTCACACGGCAGCTGGGAGGAACCAAGTGGGCGCCCGGGGAGGGGGCGGCTCCCGCGAGTCCGGCTTCGGGAGAGGGGAGGGGGTGGGAAGGAGGGAAACGAGGGTGGCGGGAGGGAGGGGACGGAGCCTTGGGCCTGCTCTCCAGCTGCCCGGTGAACCGGGGAGGTTTGCAGTTGAAAAAAAAATTTTTTTTTTAGTGTGTGAGGTTCCCAATATAGTATTTCAAAGAGCACACTCCGCCAAATCCAACTACCTCGGGAGACAGACTTAAAAAGAAAAAAAATAATAATAAAGAGCGCGTTGGGCCCACTAATCGGAGCTCCGGGTTCACCCCAGTCCTCGCCCCCGCAGTCTGGAGGCTGGTGGGCCAGGTGCGCCTCTTGCCCAGAAGGCCGAGGCGGCCCGTGGGAAGTTAGTTGCGACCGCAAGGGTAGGGGCGGCAGGTGCGCGGCGCTGGATTGAAAACTGGCGGTTCAAAGAGAAGCTGCCTCGCCCATCTTGCCTTCTCCCCTCCACAGCCCTGGCTTTGCGAGTGGGGGAGGAGGGGAGGAATGGGAATCGACAAACCCGAAGTGCAGCTTTGACAAGTGTCTTGCTTGCTGGTAATTTAATTCCAACCTTATCAACTCTCCTGAAAACCTGCCTGTTATTTTACTGGTTAATATTTTCTATTTGCATAGTGTAGAAATCCGACCCCGCTGGAACAGTGCTGGAGTGTGTTAAAATTAAGTTTCCAAGGCACGCTATAGAATTTTTTAGTTTGGCTTGCATGAACTTTTCTAACCAAAGAAAGTATTAAAACACCTCCAAAAATGTTCTTAAACAATTGCCAAAAATTTTGGAAATTTGTTATAGAATCTCTCTTTCTTTTCTTTGCAAAAGTGGGAAAATGAAAGAATTTCCCGAATTTTAGCCCTGTGTTCTTGAAGGGTAGAGAGTGTTTAGTAAATATGAAACTAGTGCAAATACAGGTAGAATCCCGTTTTAGCATACATGTAAAAATCCAGTTTTATTGGAGGCCATGCCCACATCCTGGCTGGCCTCCCAGAGTATGCCTACTTTCCTGATGGGGATACAAGGCATTCTTTGAGATGGGAAATTCTTCATACCACATCTTTATATTGGAGCAACGGATGGTATGATAACATTGAAAGAAAAAGATCTTATTAAGTACTGAACCTTCTTCTTTTCTTTCAGTGAAAACGTTATGGGAATGAGTAATACCGCAATGGAATATATATAATTAAACCTTTCTCCAGCGTTAGTAAACGGTTCTGAGGTAGTTCAAATGAATAAGCTTGTTTGCTTCCTTGAATTCTTCAACTGAAGAAATCACTACTAGAAGTTTGTCTTAGCTTAATTGTCACAGTTTTGCAGCTCTGGACCTTGTTTTGCTGGAGAGAAAGTTGTTATAAAATACAGACAATTGCTTGGAAAAATAATAGGTTAATAAATGTTCAAGCAATGAAGTCTGCAAAATTCTTCTCTTCCAGTTCTCTGGATTCCTGATGTTTTGCAAATATTGTTGGTTATGAACAGCTAGAGAAAAGTCACTTTCTTCTACAAAGATGAACAATCTGTCAGTGATTCACAAGTCATGAAATGAATAGTTTTACCTGGACTAATTGAGCCTCCCAGTAGAATTGTTTCAAAGTTGGAAGGAATAAATTAAATCCTCTTCCTGAGTTGTATATGTCTGTCCAATACTGAACATGAGGCTGAAAAGGAAATGTCAGGGCAGACACTTTTTCTCCTGCCTTGCAACTGGTTATTTCTTTAGTTAAACATGAAATCTTCCCTTGTTTGTTTTCTAGGCACATTTAGATAGTATATTTTCCCACATGAAGAATGGCATTTGGGGCCCACTTTGCATTGTCTTCAATGTCCTTTGGTGCTGGGGCAGGTGGTGGGAAGAAGGAAAACGAAGGAAAGATAAAATTTTGAGCTTTTAGGCACCCAATTCTGTATATCTATATGACAACACTTCATTTAATATAACTATGCAAAAAGAGGCATTCACCTGTATCTGATATAACTCAGATTCTTATTTATCTCCTTACCACTTTTGTCATCCATCCCACCCCTGAATACCACTTCCATTTCTTCAACACACACACACACAACAAACATGTATGGTCTTCTCCCACTACTAGGCCCTAGTGGTTTGCAAAAGGAAAGCATTCCATCCTATCAGAACAATTATGGGAACTATTTCATATTCCACCCCATCCTGTAAGTATATCGTATAGTTCTCTTCAATTCATTAAATATATGTTTAACAGGATTTTTAAAAAATTATTGTTAAAAATACTTCAGTTATTAGTGCATTTGCAACAATAAGGAATTATTTAGATTAAAAAGAAAATTTCCATATTGTGGAACTAAAAAAGTTTTTAGTAAAAAATAGTGTAGAAAGTTGGTAGTGGTTCTGACATTTGAGTGAAAATTTCACTGAAAGAGCATTAATTTATTACTTTCAGAAAGACTTCTTATTTTAAAATGCTTCAGTGATTCAAAACAAAAGAACTCATAATAGATTTAAAATGTTCTTAGAAGACCGAAAGAATAACATGGTTTATGACCTATAAGATACAATATAATTCTATTCTCTTGTTCTCCTATTATTCCCTCAGAACAATTCTATGCTTAATGAATTTTCTGCTCTATGTGGTGGTGGCCCTACAATTAACTGAGTCATGTGCATATTTGTATTACCAGAAATAGAATTGAAATTTTTTACATTTTGCAATATGAAATTTAAAGCGGTCTGTGTGTATTGTAGATTTAAAATATTCAAATGGAAATTTGAATATGTTAAAATATAAGGAAATTATAAACAACTTCCTTAAAGGTAAGCTAATATAGATATATATGATTATTTCAAGAGCCATGACTTTAAAAATACCTGCTCTTCTAAAAACTAAGCAAATCTTCATATATTGCGGTTTGTTACATGATGTTATAGAATTTTAAGCTTTAAAGGATTATGAAGTTCACCTAATTCAACCTCCTTTGTACATGCAAAGCATAACTCAAGTACTTTGCAGAAATTCAACATATAACTAGTTTAGTTTCCAATAGTTTATTTATAAGTTGCTTACTTTGAACTTGTAATGCATTCCCTGTTGGAAAAAGAAATGAGATTGTTAGATTCCCAGGATGGGCCACAAGTGCCTATAAAATGCAAATGAAAAGACAGAATTATAGACATTGGGAGGACTAGGTAGGATATTAGAAGTCATCTAATTCTGTTGACTACTACAGATAAGGAGACATATACCGTACATTGCTAATATAAAGAGAAGAAAAATACTAATATAATATTAGGCAGTAAATACAACCAAACATTTAATTAAATGAAGAGTAATTTTGGTTTTATTTTAAAAGCTATGTTTAAGACTGGAGGGAATGTGCCCTGGCCAGTTTGGCTCAGCGGTTAGAGCGTCGGCCTGCGGTCCGGAGAGACCAGGGTTCGGTTCCCGCTAAGGGCACGTACTTCGGTTGCAGTTTGTCCCCGGCCCTGGTTGGTCGTGCTGGTGGCAGCCACTCGATGTGTCCCTTCACATCGATGTTTCTCTCTCTCTCTCCCTTCCTCTTTCTCCCTCCCACTCTATCTGTACAAAAAATGGAAAAATATCCTCCGGTGAGGATAAAAAAAAAAAAAAAAAGACTGGAGGGAATGTAAACAGAAACTTTTGAAAAGACTTTCTAAAGAGAATTTCTAGACATTTAAAAGAATCAGAGCCTTGTTTTTCTTCCTCCTCTATCCTTTCTCTCTGGCAACAGTGGATACAACTCAGCTCTCTTTCTCATCTCTTCCCACCTTTTCCCTTTTTGCAGTCATCCACTGTGCAGGACTTGTATAATTAACAGTCTGTAATACTTTCTGATCTCAATAGCACTGACTGTTGTCCACTCATTCCTGGCTGTTACTGACTGGATGTTTGTGTTTCCCACCTCCCCAAATTCATATGTTGAAATCCATATGTGTTTGGGAAGTGATTAGGTCATGAGGATGAAGCCCTCATAAATGGGATTAGTGCTTTTACAAAAGAGAGCCCCAGAGAGCTTACTTGCTCTTTTAAACATGTGAGAACACAGTGAGACCATGGCCATCCATGAACCAGGAAACTGCCCCTCACCAGACACCAAATCATCTGCAGGTGTCTTGACCTTGGACTTCCCTGGCTCCATACTGTGAGAAATAGATGTTTGTTGTTAAGCCACCCAGTCTATGGTATTTTGTTATAGCAGCCTAAACGGACTAAAACACTGACTATAATTCTCAGCTAACTACACAGGCAGGTGGAAGAGTAGATACAAAAAGTACTCTGCTTACAATCTCTGGAATTTATCTAAACCAGCTTCCATTTGCACACTTCATTCTTGGCTTTCTTGTTCCTCACAATTCCATGTTTAGCTTTTGCTCTTCTCCACTGAGTTTGTTGAGATTGATAGCAAGTCTGTGCTCATTCACCCTTCTTGTCTCAGCTTTTCTCCTTCTCCAGATCTTCACTCTGCCGGTAAAGAACCCACCAGCTAGAGTAGCCCTTTTAAGCATTCCACATGAGGGTGTATAGAAGATTTTGTTTGCTTCCTTGACAAAATTGTGTGACCTGTCAGCCAAGATGTGGGGCTTTTTCTAGCTTGTACGGAGCAAGGTTATAAGAAGAGATCCTTTCTTGAAGTAAATGGGCAAGAGTTGGG